CCTTGAATAATATTTCTAACTTTATTGACATTTGCTTTTATCCCTCTCCCTACCTAAGATTTAAGGGCATTCTCTCTCCTCCATCCCTATAATTAATTTTAAGGGCTCTCTCTTTCTCTCTCTCAAATTTAATGGGCAATTAGGAGAAAGGTGTGGGCATTAAATGAAAATTAAATTAAAAATAAACCTAAAACCTATGAAACAAAAAAGATAATGTTTTAATATATTAATAATAATAATAATAATAATAATAATGATAATAAAAAAATATTTTAAACTTTCAATTAATTTAAAAAAAATTGAAATATACTCTTACCGTTCGTTTAAGATGAAGCAGATTAATATTTTGATTAAAAAATAGCCTTGTCTTTTAACCGTGTTTTAAAAATACTAACTTTAAAAGGTTTCATTAATATTTTTCACCTTTATTTAAAAAAAAAAAAAATCAAGATTTTTTTATCTCTGTCTAAATTTTTTTTAATTTTTAAAAAATTTAAAGAATAATTTAAAACTTTTTGAAAATTTTTAAAAAATTTAGAGCTACAAAATATTTTAAAAATACTTTTAAAATATCGATAAAACTATGCTAATTTTATTAATTTGGCAAAATAATTAACTATGAATTATTTGGACTAAGATTTTAAAAATTTAATAATTAGCTAATTTTGTTTATATCTACAATTATTCATAATTATTTAATATTGGGAAATTAAAAAAAAAAAAAAAAACCANGACACGTGCTGTCTGATTCTTGGTAGATACGAATTTGATAACCCAACTTTGCTGGACCATTCACATGCACCTCCACGTGTTTTATCTTCTTTTTATTCTTTTTTTTTAAATATATATATATATATTTATTTGCTCAAATTCTAACTATTTTATTTTAAAAAATTTATATTTTGTAAGTTAGTTATTTTTTCTTTTAATTATTAATTAAAAGTTAATGTGACATTTATTTTTATTAAAGAATATTTGTTATAATTTTTTTAATTATTAAACTTTTTATAAAAAAAATATTATTGTGATTATTTTTTTCTCTCTGTCATTACCATTAAGAATCGAGGCGAAGAGGAAAGAAAGGAAAAAAAAAGTACGGTCGTCGGCGACCAGTAGCTACGAGTGGGGAGACGTCAACAATTAGAATTGAGAAGAAGGGAAAGTAAAGAGAAAAAAAGTACAGTCATCAGCGATCGGTGGCTACGAGTGGCGAGATGCCAACAATTAAGAATCGAGAAGAAGGAGAAAATAAGGAGAAAAAAAGTATTGTCGTCAGCGATTGGTGACTGTGAGTGGCAAGACGCCAACAATTAACAATCGAGAAGAAGGGGAAAGAAAGGAGAAAAAAGATAATTTCGTCAGCAACCGGTAACTTCGAGTAACTAGACGCCAACAATTAAGAATCGAGAAAATGGAAAAAGAAATGAAAGTTATTACCATCAGTAGCGACATACACGCAGAAATATATGAATATAATTATTAGTTTGAAATTTGAATTTAATTTAAATTTTTAAAAAAACATTATTAAATATAAAATTAAAATTTATGTTGAATAAAAATTATTTGGTTATTATAATTATCTTTGCATAAATGTTACTTTTTATTATTTCCACCAATTTTATGAAAATAAAGTTTCCACGTGGAATGTTTGGTTGAAATGGGTGTCGAGTCATTTTCAAACTTTTAAGAACGTTGGGATAATTCTTTCTATTTCCTTTCTAAAATTTAATATTATATATATATATATATATATATATATATATATATATATATATATATATATTTTACTTTATTAAAAAAAATCATTTTTAACGCAGAATTGTTAATATAGTAAGGGTAAGGTCTGATACCATGTTAGGAACTACGGCCTCCATAATGTTATATTACTTATAAATACATGATTATCCCCGTAATTAGCCAATGTAGGACTCCTCCCAATAAGTCTCATCCTCTTATAATTGGCTCCAAATTATAGAGGTAACCTCCAATCCGAACAAAATTGGATGTGTAATACTTTCCTACACACAATCTACACGTGCGAGTGTGAGTCTCCATGTAGTTCGCACACAAATGTTTTAGAGCTTTGCATGGAAGAAAAAAACAATGCCGTAGAGAAGAAGCCATTGAAAGTCTATTTACTTGTGTGATTGCCGAGACCCCTTTACCCATCATAGTCAGGTTAGTTATCCGTAGCCAAACGTCTGGATGTCAACGAACCCTCGTGATATGGAATCACTACAAGAGGAGTAAGATTCAGATTACCTTGTTAATCGAATATCTCAAGGCAAGAAGAATAACACTTGTTTGAGATTTGAATCACTCCACAAGCAAAATCGATCATGTCTAGCTTGAATGATTTTTGTTGATCAAATATCTCAAGGCAATAACACTTGTTTGATATTCGAATCACTCTACAAGCAAGATTGATCATGTCGAGCTTAAATGATTCTACATGCAACCTAAACTACATACAATTGCAAAGAAACTTTAGCCAGGCCTCAAACTAAAACTGTTAAAGACATTCCAATAGTTCTAACATTCATATTCGATGATCATAATTAACCATTAGGTAAATGTAATCTAAAGTAAATAAAAAGTCTTAAAATATATCAATGAAATACAATAACTCTAAATTACTCTAAATCCACCGAAAATTTATAACAATGAAATTTTATTTTCTTCAATGTGCACGACTTGAAATATTTTTGATAATTTCAACAACATTTTCTTCGCACCTTCATTGAAGTATATTGTATGATTGATGTCTTTTAGTTCATATCACACTGAGTATCATACGTGGCATGATGATGATCATCATCACAGTACATACGTCCATACTCATTATCATAAATGGGAAGTAACCCGATGTATATGAATACACAATATGCATGAATTTCCTACAATTTTCATCTTAAATTATTCTTACACACAACCCTATATATCATTCACACATTACCCTAGATAACATGCATAAATTGGCCTTCATACGTTCATCATCATTAACATCAAGGGTTGTGTCTTAAAAAAACTCATCGTCATCATGCACCATGTCATTTAATACATGCACATCATCTTAATATAAAATATCATCATGCATTTTACATTAACATATCATCATTTAACATCATCACATTATTATTTTTGATTATTTTATTTATTTATTTATTATTATTATTATCATTTTTTTTTGTGGTTGTTACACAAAATAAAATGCAAAATTTAAGATTATTTATTTATTAATTTAGAGAAATATTAGGATTAAAAAACGGCATTCATGACAAATTAAAATTTTGAAAAAAATATTTATTTAATTTCAACTACTTATTTTTATTGGTGAGACAAAATATTATTTAAATGTTTGATCGATAATTAATAACCAAAATGAAAGAAAGAGGAAAAGAGATTGCTAATTATTGGCCTCAATTATTTATAAGTCGGTGAATGTAATGATTTAAATAATTTGTTAAATATTTTAATTATATATCACGTTTTCTTTCAACCTTCATAATAAAAATAAAAATAAAAATAAAACCCTGAAGAAAATAAGATTTTCAAAGTTTGATTCTACGTTTTATCCATCTTCGATCCTAATGGAATTTAGAATTCACGGGGCGGGGCGCTTTTTGAATAGGCTACATTGCTTTCTTCGATCCTAATGGAATTTAGAATTCACGGGGCGGGACGCTTTTTGAATAGGCTACATTGCTTTCTTCGATCCTAATGGAATTTAGAATTCACGGGGCGGGGCGCTTTTTGAATAGGCTACATTGCTTTATATCTCTGTCCTTACCGTCTTACGGTCTGTCTCTGGGGCGGGACGCTTTTTGAATAGGCTACATTGCTTTATATCTCTGTCCTTACCGTCTTACGGTCTGTCTCTGGTTGGCTTTATATCTCTGTCCTTACCGTCTTACGGTCTGTCTCTGGGGCGGGGCGCTTTTTGAATAGGCTACATTGCTTTATATCTCTGTCCTTACCGTCTTACGGTCTGTCTCTGGTTGCTTTATATCTCTGTCCTTACCGTCTTATGGTCTGTCTCTGGTGCGGGGCGCTTTTTGAATAGGCTACATTGCTTTATATCTCTGTCCTTACCGTCTTACGGTTTGTCTCTTTTTTGAGGTTCCACTATTTAGCCAACTCGACCCTATTCGTTTAGGACGTAAACATTCCTTTTTTGTAAGGACTTAGATCCACCGCTAGCAGATATTATCCTCTTTGTGCTTTCCCTTTCGGGCTTCCCTTCAAGGCTTTAAAACTGTCTGTTAGGGGAAGGTTTCCACACCCTTATAAATGATGGTTTGTTCTCCTCCCTAATCAATGTGGGACATCACATTTTCGATGACTCAATCATAAGAAACACATGGTTAAACGTGCTTTACTTGAAATAATTAGATGTTACGTGACCTCCTAAGAATTTTCCTAAAAGACATGTGAGTGAGAACAAAACATGTTAGAATGACTCGTGTTGGTCTGTATGGATATTCTTCACTCTTAAGAAGCGATGTAGGAAAAAAGTGGGACCATATGGTACCGCATTCGAATTCTAAATCTTGATCAAAATATTAGACACAAGGCATTATACTAGTCTCAATCATTCAAGAAAAGAAAGTCCACAAGAGCGGGGAACTATAACCATTTTGTAACGACCCTTTCTTTCAATTGGGTCTTACAATCGTCCTGTAATGTAGGTTATATCCCTTTTCTCGTACACATCCATAATGGAAGATCGAGCTGGGAGCTCAATCTCGTAAATCTCTCGAATTCCAATCGTGTTTAGAGTTAGAAATTAAATTAAAATCTCGATTAAATAAAAGCAAAATTATAATTAAAAAAATAATAAATAAATAAATGGGAAGAAGTAAAGGAAGTGTATTTTATGCACGTCACGAATACACATCTTAGATCTGAACCAGTTGTAAATATAAATTTTATATAGAAATAAAAAAAGAATTATATATAAATTATAAATAAATAAATAGAAAAAAAAAAAAAAATCACTCCATTGTACTATTCAGATCAAGCCTCGGCCAAAACCGCCGTTACCAAAACCAAATATGGATCTGAACGCTGACTCCGTCTCTCTGACTCTGACTCTTCCGTCTCTCTCTCTTTCCTTGTGACATATAGAAAGTTCTGCGACTGATTTCCTCCATTTGCATTTACTCATTTTCTCTACCTTCATTTTCATTACCATCTCCTTCGATTTCTCTCTCTACGGATACCTATATGTCGTTTTTCTGATCGGAGCTTCGAATCGTCGCCGTCATGAACCGGAACTGGAGGGAGTCACTTTCTGGTGGACGGAATGCTCCTCTGTTGTCGCAGCACCGTCGTGGTCATAGCTTCACTGGAATCTCTAGGGATTCCGATGAGAATCTGGATCTCTTCTCTAAGAATCGACGGAGTCTCTCTGTTGCTGCTTCTGATGGCTCCACTGATGGTAATGATCCTTTCTGATTAACGGAGTTGTGTGGATTGATGTAATGTTGCTGGATGTGAGTTTTTTTCTTTTTTTTGTTGTTGTTGCGTTTGGCCGTTGAATGAGGTTTTTGAAGTCTGTAGTGACTTGATTTGGAGGCTGTTGTAGTTCTGATTTTATGGTTTTATGACTCTATGGACGGATTCAACTGTGTGTGGTTGTGAATTTGGAATCCTTTTGTTGTTCTGCTTGGATCGTTCTTGATTAGTGTTGTTCTGCTTGTTTGTTGCTCGGCGTGACTGTGGTTATTAAGTTGTTTGATCTGATTTTGATGTCAGTGCCGGTGAAATTGGGGAGGCTTTCAGTTGGATCGGTGAAATTGGCTAAGAGTGGGATCGACGATCTGCTGTCATCGACTGAGGGAGGAAAACACGATTATGACTGGTAACTTATTTGGCAAATTAGTAACGGCTTCAATGATTTCTATGTTTTTTTCTTGCTCTGGAACTTACTGCTTTTGACGCTCTCTTTCATCAATTATCAATGTAGTAGTCTCGAAGCTATCTAAGATTTCATCTATAACCAAGGTATTTTGTAGGATTATCAATTATGGAGATGGTGAAGAAGTTGAAAAAATGTCAGAGTCTAGAAATGCTATGTTTTTACTTGATCTATTTATGTGATCATGAGCGGGGGGCCCTTTTGTATAATCCTTAAAACTTTAAAGTATCTCTTTAAGAGTGATAATGACACAGAAGTAAAACATATATTGTAATTAGAAAGTTGCAAGTACATGTCAATGACTTATCAAAAATATGAATACTGATGGTTGATGAGGGGTTATGTGAAGTAGATTCCAGCTATCCTGATCTTACTTTTAACAGGTAGTTCTTCCGTTTATTCTATCCTATTCACTGGTATTTATCACTGATATGGGCAAAATTTTGTACTTTCTTTTGTCCTGGTCTATGGTCTGAACGAGTCGCACATACACCCAGTACATGTTCCTCGATGCTGAGGGTATCCCTGAAGGGCGGGCGATTTGGTGATATTTCTGATTGACGGAGTGTTTCTAATAAGCGTGAACATCTTTCTTTTCTAGGGAAAAAAAGGGGTAGATCTTGATTGATGTTTGAAACTTCTAAGCTCGAACTTTACCTATCTTAGTGTGATGCACAATGTGTTCCGAAGCATGATTCTTCTCTGGTTAACCTTTGTGCTATAGGCTTCTCACACCACCTGGTACTCCTCTTTTCCCTTCATCCTCTGAAAGTGAAGTTCAATCCACGGTAGCAGCGCCAAGAAACAGCAGCTTAGTCAGGTCATCTTCGACAACAAAAGCTTCAAGGGTATAATTCAACCTTCTCTTCCTGAGTTGCATATGATCAAGTATCTTCACTTCAGTTTTTGTGAGATCCCCAACATCGGATGGGGAGGAGAACGAAACACCCTTTATAAGGGTGTGGGAACCTCTCCCTAGTAGACGCGTTTTAAAAACCTTGAGGGAAAACCCGAAAGGAAAAGCCCAAAGAAGACAATATCTACTGGCGGTGAGCTTGGGCCGTTACAGTTTTCTTCCTTCTATGTTGTGTGCTTCTTTGTTCATGACATTGTGTAACTCCTAAAGTACTTTTTAATGTTACTATACAAAAGCATTTCTCAAATGAGGAGATTCATGATCCCTCTTTAGTTGAATTATCTAGGGTGGTAGTAATTGCTTTCCCCATATCTGTTTCAGCTTTCAGTTTCACAATCAGAGAGTAACAATCCTTCAAGGCCAGCTAGGAGCAGTTCTGTGTCTCGGTCCTCTGTCTCCACTCCCCAGTATAGTAGCTATTCCTCCAATAGGTCTTCATCAATTCTTAACACAAGCTCAGCTTCAGTTTCCTCTTACATAAGGCCTGCCTCCCCGAGTACACGCAGTGCATCTACTGCAAGACCTTCTACTCCATCTTCACGCTCGACACCATCGAGGTCCTCGACCCCTTCAAGAGCCCGTCCATCCCCCACCAGCTCCTCCATTGACAAACCAAGGCAACTACAAAGTTCAAGGCCAACCACTCCTAGTTCTAGGCCTCAAATTCCTGCAAATTTGAGTTCTCCTGCAGCTCGGTCGAATTCCCGTCCATCTACTCCTACTCGACGAAATTCCGCTCCTTCACTCTCTTCTGTTGTCAGCACTCCATCTTCTACATCACGTGTTCTATCAACGAATGGACGCAGTTCAACATCTACATCTCGACCAAGTTCCCCTAGTCCTCGGGTCCGGGCTGCACCTCAGCCAATTGTCCTCCCTGATTTTCCTCTTGATACTCCTCCAAACCTCAGAACAACATTGCCCGACAGGCCGATTTCTGCTGGTAGATCCCGCCCAACTCCTACATCAGTTAGAGGGAGTCCAGAGACTACATCGACTGTTACTATGCCTAGAAGAGCATCATCACCAACTGTCTCAAGGGGAAGACTAACTGACGCTCCTGGAAGGGGCCGGGTGAATACCAATAGTCCTGAAACTAGGAGACTTTCAAGTTCCTCTGATTTGGGCGGAAGGAGACCTGTGAAGCCTTCTACAACTACAGCAGAAAGCAACGGATTTGGGAGGTCTATTTCAAAGAAATCCCTTGATGTGGCCATCAGAAATATGGTATGCTTCATCTTTTTTGTGCAGTTGGTTATATGTTATCTTTTGTAATGAATTTCAACAATCCAATCTGCTTGTATGGTGCAGGATATAAGAAATAGCCCTGGGAATGTGCGCTCAGGTTCAGGCAGTACTCTATTTCCACACAGCATCCGAGCAGCAGCCAGTCCCAAAACTCAGTCCATTGCTTCGAGTAACCCCGAAGCTATCGATACCGACTTCCAAATGAGCATTAACAACAACATGGAGAGAGGAAACCATTTTCACAGACACTCTGCAACAATGGGAACCGAAGGAGGAGAAAATGGAAGATTTTGTGCAAGCTTGAATCATTTGGACATCTATGAAAGCTCCCGTTATGATGCAATATTGCTGAAAGAGGACTTGAAAAACACGAATTGGCTGCACAGTGCCGATGATAAAACGGATTTGGCTTCCATTTTGGATAATGGATTTGAAGCTCTGCCTGAGCCTTTTGGCCTCTTGTAACATCTAAGATGATGATGGGGTTTGTACTGTATTTTTCTTTATTTCCTTTTCTATTTAATTATCATCATCATTATTATTTTTGGCATCATTTTGGGTCTGAAATATGAAAATGATGGAATCTGCCCAATTGTGCAGTGAATCCTCATAGGAGAGAAGATAAAAATATGGAGATTGTATGTGATTTCTGAAGATAAATTAGTTTTATCCTCTTAGGAGGCTCTGTTATCTGCAAATCTGAAGTATTTTTTGTGTATCCCAAACAATTTGTTTTGGGATAAAGTGGCATGTCATTCTGTCTTCAGAAAATTTGTGTTTCAACTTTTATATAGGGGTAATTTTTTTCTTTGGTTTAAAAACACGTTTACGTCCCTGTAATTTCGTTAAATTAACAATTTAGTCCTTAAATTTTTAGTACATAACGATTTAGTCCTTAAATTCTTTTAGTTGTAACAATTTGATGTTAGTATGTAACTATTAGAATTATTTTTGTTTGGTTTTCTAAAGTAGTTTTAATTTTAGATAATTAATTGTTGTCAATGAATTGATTTTGATTGAATTATCAATTTTAATTTTGATTTAATTTTTGTTTATTAACGACTATATTACAAACAATATGCTTTAAATTGTAGGCTTTAATTTATTTAAACATATAAGAAATTAACTAATGATACATGTTTTATTTTTTTAAATAACATTAAATTACAACTAAATATAAACAAAATCAAGTTAGAAATTTTTTTTTATGTCCCAATACTTAATTTCAAAAGACTCAGATGTTTTACACAAATCACTATTTTCTCGGGATGCATGTGAGTGAAGACAAAATATGTTGGAATGACTCATAGTGGTATGTAAAGATAGTTTTTTGGAAGAACTCTTATTGGTCTGTAGAGATAGTCTTCACTCTTAAGAAGTAAGAAACGTGATCATGTCATAAAAGAAGCAAGTAGCTTGAATGATAAGTACGACATTTAAAAGCCCATATTCATATTTAAATCCCTTGAAACAAACAGGTCATAAAGAGAAAGGCCCAACCCAAAGCAATCTCTTTTGTATGTTTTATTTTATATTTATTTTGCGTTCTATTTCCAAAAAACTTTTAAAAATTTCAATATAAATTAATATTTTGTTTCAAAAATATTTTTATGGTTTATTCCAATAGTAACTTTGGTATTAGAAAATGCAATCATGATGAAACCTATCATTTCATAAAACAACGTGACTTTAGTCTTTACTTTTCAGTGTAAGGCAAATTAGATGTGCAATGTAGACCCCAGTTGGGCTTGTATAAGTACCTTTGGACCTAGCTTTAGGCTAGCGTACTCTCATGTTGCTAGAAAGTCGTGGAGAGAAATGAGCGCACATAATATCATGGTGTACATAATATTGTAGTGTATGCACCCGTTACTAATCATAATGAAAAGTATCTTAATGTACGTGACATACAAAATGCATGAGATCCTCATTCCTCTGTTCTTTTCATAAACATAATTTTCATTATATAACATACCTCGCTTAATAGTATCATATAAATTTGGAGTGAACATGCTAGCATAATGTGTGTAACATAACATACAGAGGTTTCATGCATCATGTAACATTGAATTCACACTACGATTCATAACATAATATAACTGTCTCATGGTATAACATATATCATAGTAATAAACACAACATAATACACGTCAAACAATCACAAAACACGACATTTATAAGGGCCACAGGGTACACACCGTTCATACTACATACAATTCATCAACAACCAAGCCAATAGTACAACCACTTTACTTGGTTGATCTGAGTAGCCATACTACCTTAAACACCTCGAAAGGTGTAAAAAAAATGACTACATATCAAACCCAAGTTGGATCAGTCGAGCTGAAACTGTAAAAGAATATATTCTACTACTGACTCCGAACCGCCAATAAAATGAAACAGAGCAATTATTATGATTATTGTAACTCCTAGGATGAGAAATAGGTCCATTGTTTTTTACAAGAATAATTCGAGCATTTGTTGCCACTTAGTAGAGTGAGTCTATATAGCAAACTGGTAGGACGCAGAGATCGATTGATCCATATGAATCTCGAGAGTGGATGGTTGATCGCCGCCCCCTTGTCCGGGGGGGAGGCTTGCTATCGTAACCTTTTCTCCCGGTATATGTGAAAAAGAGTGACTCACCCTTTTTTATTCAGTTAGAAATTGGTCCAAAGGACGAGAGTAGACTTCCTTAAGTCCGTTGTTCCTCAGGCTCAGTAATAAACAACAACATTTTTTTTCCTTCTAAATGAATAAGAGTATAAATGAAGATTCATTTAATTAAAATTAAAATTAAAATTATATTAAGTAAAAAATTAATAAGAAACTATGTTAGGTCAACCACTTCCACCTCGTTTAAGACAATAAATAAAACAAATGTACAAACAAATATCACCATTTTTGTCACTAAACATTATTAATTATTAATTATTAATTTATTATTTTTTGTCTTTTAAAACTTTTTAAATAAATTAGTATTGGTTGGTGAGCTTTCATTGAAAATGGAATATATTTCCTATTTTTTAATTATCATTTTTATTTTATTTTCTGAATTTATTTTAATTAAATAATTAGTAAAAAAAGAAATTATCATTAATATATTAAATTTAATAAAAATGGGTTAATCCCAACCTATAATTTTGGTCCCCCACCAAAGACATTGGGCATCCAATGCCCTATTAAACAATAATTGTTGTGAATTTAATTATTTAAAGAATCTAATTTTGTTTCCTCCACTTTTATTATATATTTATTAAAATAAAGTCTTACCTTAAAAAATATATATAAATAATTTCAAACGGTAATATAATTTATGGAAAATAATTATTAATAAAAAACACAAATTTGGTTGGCATTCCTTATTTAATTATTATGCATTGAATATTATAATTAAAAATGCTATGCGTAGCACTACCCTAGCTACAACATTATTGTACTTTCTAATTTTTTTTTTTGTTCCAAATAGAAATTAAATATTTTATTTATTTATTTACGGTCTTGAAATAATTCGATGACCAGAACCCGTTCAATTTACCATCAAAATCGTGGGGTTAAGTTTAAAAAATGTTTAAACTCGAGCCCACTTAACCCATGAACACTTTTATAAAATTATTTTATTTTATTTTCTAAAAAAAGATAGCCAATCATTTAATTAAGGAGGAGCATTTGTTCTATTTTATTAAAAAAAAAAAAAGAATTATGGTCAAATTTCTTATATTTTATAGGATAAATAATTCTATTTTATTATTAACATGAAAGATATATATATATATATATATATATATATATATATATATATATATATTTTCTTTCAAATATGGGTTTGGTCATTCTTAATTTAAAGAATATTATTCGTATCTTTCAAATATCTAATTTTAAATCTTAAAAATAATCTTGGTTTATTATTTATTATTTTAAAATTTTATTCGTTTTTTTTATTATTTAATAAATATCGATAAAAGAAAAAATAACTTTAAATAACTAGATTTAATATTTATTAAATATAGAAACTCGTTTTTTTTTATTTAATTTCAATAACATATGAGCGTGGAGAGTTTTAAAGCTCAAATCTCTTAATCTATAATAAAGCGACTTATACTCGTGTTGACGTTTTAATTTTAAACTCGTAAAAAAAAGAATTATAGTTTTTTTAATTCATTTTATTTTACACGTAGAAAAAGAAACTGAAGCGTATATACAATAAATGTTTAAAATAAAATAAAATAAAGATAATAAAGTACAATAATTCATTTTTTTTTTTATTTTTATTTTGTATTTTTATGAGAACAACTCACCAAAAGCTTGGAAATTTTTGTCGGTTGAATTAAAAAAAAAAAAAAAAAAAAAAANATATATATATATATATATATATATATATATATATATATATATAAACAAATAAATTAAATAAAGCCATATATTTTGAAAATTGCTTTCAACCACCACCTTTCTATTATTATTATGAATATTCAATTCTTACCCAATTGAAATGTGAATTAAAAAGGTTGATATTTATCTATTTATTTTTTTATTTTAATTTTTAAATTGTTCTTGTTTATATATTATATGTATATATATATTTAAGATAATGATTTCTATTCGGTAAAAAAAATATTTGAATTTTAATAACCTTTATAAAGAAAATAATGAGAATAAAAAAAATTAAAATGTTTATAAACTAAATTTAAAAAGTAAAATAAAAATAAAATAATAATCAATTTTGTTGTCATTCCTACTAATAGAGGGAAAGCTTTCAAAGATGTTCGAAAATAATTTTGAATTATGAGACGTTATATAATATTTTTTCCATTCTTTTTATTATTAGTTTGTTGTCATTCTCTTTCTTACCGACCTAGCAAGATAGGCGTCTGTTTTTTAGTGCAAGAGTGAAAATTAAACTATCTATATTTGGAATGATAATTAGTATCTTATTCACTCAGCTATGTTCAAATTGGTAATTTAAGTGTTTTAAGTGTTTTTTTTTGTGAGTGTAGATAAAACACAGTATGCTCATTTGTAACGGTTCAAGCCCAGTGCTAACAAATAGCAAATATTGTCCATTTTGGTCTGTTACGTATCTTCGTGTCACCATAGAGAAGGAATGATTTGTTTCTTTCCCTAAACAATGTGAAACCTCACAATTTACTCCTTGGGGACCAGCGTCCTCATTGGCACACCAGTCGAAATCAGGCTCTGATCCCATTAAACAGTTGAAGCCTACTACTAGTAGATATTGAGTTGAACCCCACAGCTAGGTAGATATTGTTCGCTTTGGCTCTTTACATATCATTGTCAACCTCATTGTCAGTAGATATTATCCACTTTGACCTGTTACATATCGTTGTCAATCTCACGGTTTTAAAACCCGTCTTCTATGGAGAGGGTCTAGCCCTACTCCGATTAGTGCCTCACATCGTCTAGTGATTGATTGCTTTGGCCTGTTACGTATAGCCACCAACCTCACAAAACGCCTCTTCTAAAGAAAAGTTTCTACATACTTATAAGGTTCGTTCCCTTCTCCAACTTAACTTAATTAAAAATTACCTAAAAATTCCCTTTCCCACTCCAAATTAATTCTCAAAAATCTCCCGCGAAGGAATATAAAATAAATAAATAAAAAAACCCAAAAGAAAATAAAAAGAAATTAATTTTTTTTGCCTTTTGGAGTTTTGGGGTATGCTAAAAAAATTGGCTGAGAGATTCCAATACGAAGAGAGAAAACCGATTCAGGGCGGCGACTCAGGGGAGGGAAATGCGTTGGCGAAACAGAAGAGGCGGAGGCAGCGGCGGTGGTGGCTTCACGGTGAAGCTTGAGCGCAACGGTTGGGTAGAAGAGAATCTGAAGACCTCAAAAAGAAGGGGAAAAAGAAAAGAAAGAAAAATTAAAAGAGGGAATTTAAAGAAGAAAGAGAAGGAAAGGTATTAACAATGGAACCAAACCCCAACTACCATGGCTCACTCAGTAGGTGTCCGACTTTAATTTACTTTCTTACGATCGCGTCTTCTTCTTCAAGCAATGCCGTTAAAGGTCCGGCTTCTCTCGCTATCTCTCTCTTTATCTATTTCTTTGTTCTTATTTCCACTCAATTTGGCTGCTCTACAATGCTCTTGCTCAATGCTGTTCATCATCTTCTAGGTTTCCTTTCTCTCTATCTCTCTTCCCCTTGTCTGCTTGTTGGATTTTGTGTTTTCTAATGTAGATTGGCTTGTTTATGTGGTTTCCTAATTGGGTTTTCAGATCTATGAAATGGGTTTTGGAGTATTTGAGGTAATGCTTTCTGTAGTGACTGAAAATGAGTGAAAGATTAATGGATTGTTTGGGTTTTTTGGTTCTTCCATGCCTGAATTTTATGTTGTTTCGGAAAAAGGGTAATGTAACGATCCTAGATTTCTACTTATTTTGAGTTGCTACTGTTATTATCGTCATCATAACGTAATCATTTTCATGTTTTCGAGTTCGTGGCAGTGTTTTGAGTTGAAGTTATAAGTGTCTAATTCTATGTGAGTTTAGATGATGATGAGGGTAGCGACTTTGGGTAAGTAGAGTTGCTATTGTTATCATAACGTAATCATTTCTATGTTTTCGAACATGTAAGTTTATGATAGTGTTTTATGATGAAGTTTACGTTTTATGATAGGAGTTTTAAATGTCTAATTTCGCATATGAAATGATAATGAGGTAGTGAACCTGGACAAGTAGAAATCTAGGATTCTAATGAGCTAAACTTTCCATTTGGACAAAACAAAGTAGAGTTTTTGTTTTCGTTTTCTTTTCTTTGTTCCCATTTCACATGAACTTTCTGGATTGTTGTTTTGATTTTAGGACGATGGGTAAGATCTCACATCGGTCGGGGATGAGAACAAAGCATTCTTTATAAGAGTGTGGAAATCTCTCCCTAACTAATGCGTTTTAAAAACCTTGATGGGAAGCCTGAAAGGAAAAACCTATAGAGGACAATATCTGTTAGTGGTTGGCTTAGGCCATTACATCAGAGCCAGATACTGGGCGATGTGCTAGAGAGAAGTTTGAGCCTTGAAGGGGGTGGGCACTAGACGGTGTGCCACAAGGACACTGGGCCTCGAAGGGGGTGGATTGTAAGATTCCACATCGGTTGGGGAGGAAAACAAAACATTCTTTACAAGGGTGTGGAAACCTCTCCCTAGTAGACATGTTTTAAAAACTTCGAGGGGAAGTCCGAAAGAGAAAGCTCAAAGAGGACAATATCTGCTAGACGTGGGCTTGGGCTGTTATTGTTTTGATCACATATTTGTTATATATAACCATGCATGTGATCGAACGTTGCTTCTTTTTCTTTGCATTGAGACGATTCCACTGATTCCGATCGTTTTCGAGTTTGAAATTGATAGCAATAATTCCTGATAATGGTTATTACTCTGCAGGGAATAGAACTTGTTGAGGTTACCCCCAGATCTCTTGCTACCACAATAGGCCTCCATTAGAAATCCTCCATGAGGCTACATTCCCTTTTTGCAGCATTTTTACTCTTACTTTCCTTCATCGAGGCTGATCTAAACTCAGACAAGCAAGCTCTTCTCGAGTTTATTTCGACGGTTCCCCACGGTCGAAAAATCAACTGGGATCCCTCTACCCCGGTCTGCACGGCTTGGGTTGGCATCACGTGCACTTCCAACCTCTCTAATGTGCTTGCTCTCAGGCTGCCTGCTGTTGGACTGTTTGGTCCGATACCCGCCAATACACTTGGAAAGTTAGACGCTCTTAGAACCTTGAGTCTTCGATCTAACAATCTTAATGGGAACGTTCCATCGGATGTGCTATCCCTTCCCTCCCTAAAGTTTATATATCTTCAACATAATAACTTTTCTGGTCAAATATCTTCTTCCCTGTCTCCTAGCCTTACCTTCCTCGATCTGTCGTTCAACTTTCTCACGGGAAACATTCCGACATCGATACAAAATCTCACGCAGCTCACTAGCCTCAATGTTCAAAACAACTCCCTGAACGGATCCATTCCTGATATCGGTCACCTAAAGCTTAAACTATTGAATGTGAGCTACAACCATCTTAGCGGTCGTATTCCCGCTTCACTGCAATCATTTCCTCCTTCTTCCTTTGAAGGGAACTCACTGCTATGTGGCTCACCTCTGAAAAATTGCTCACTTGGTGCTCCCTTACCTTCTCCATCTCCCACTTCTTCGACCCGGCCGAAGAACGAAAAGAGGATAAACATTGGAGCCATCGTTGCCATTGCCTTGGGTGGTTCTGCATTGCTCTTCCTCGTCACGATATTGATTGTCGTCTGTTGTATAAAGAAAAAAGATGGCGAAGGTAGTACCGTTGCTGCGAAAGGAAAGGGCAAAAGGAGTGAGCAACCAAAGGAGGATTTCGGAAGCGGGGTGCAAGAGCCCGAGAAAAATAGGCTCGTGTTCTTTGAAGGATGTTCGTATAATTTTGATCTCGAGGACTTGTTAAGGGCCTCCGCCGAAGTACTCGGAAAAGGGAGTTACGGGACTACTTACAAGGCGATCTTGGAGGATGGAATTACAGTGGTAGTAAAGAGGTTGAAGGAAGTGGTAGCTGGGAAGAAGGATTTTGATCAACAAATGGAGATTGTTGGGAGAATCGGCCAGCATCCGAACGTCGTGCCTCTCCGTGCCTATTACTATTCGAAAGACGAGAAGCTTTTAGTTTACGATCACGCCATTGCTGGAAGCTTTTCCTCATTACTCCATGGTATGCTCTATTGAATCTCTCATCCTATTTCTTGCTTTTATGGATCTTTTGCTTCTTCAAGATGAACCGAAAAATAATTCAGCTCGTGTCTCGTTACGCAGGAAGCCGAGATGGTGGAAGAGGGCCACCGGACTGGGAAACACGAGTGAAGGTTTCACTTGGGTGTGCCAAAGGCCTTGCACATATCCATTCATCAAGTGGGGGAAAATTGATCCATGGCAACATAAAGTCCTCTAACATCCTTCTTACACAAGACATGAATGGTTGTATTTCAGATTTTGGCTTGACTCCTTTGATGAACTCTCCAATCATTCCCTCTAGAAGCGTAAGTTATCGTGCTCCAGAGGTGATCGAGACTCGAAAGTCAACTCAAAAGTCAGACATTTACAGTTTCGGAGTCGTTTTGCTCGAGATGTTGACTGGGAAAGCGCCATCCCAATCGCCAGGCCGTGATGATGTCATGGACCTTCCTAGATGGGTCCAATCTGTGGTTAGAGAAGAATGGACCTCTGAGGTATTTGATGTAGAACTAATGAAGTATCAAAACATTGAAGAAGAGCTGGTTCAAATGCTCCAAATAGCAATGGCGTGTGTGTCACGAGTGCCAGATATGAGACCAACGATGGAGGAAGTTGTTAGGATGATCGAGGAAATCCGACCATCTGACTCGGGAACTCGACCATCATCAGAAGATAACAAAGACGGGGACGGAGACGGAGACGGAGACGATTACTTGAATACTCCGACCTGACCTTGTATTCGTTCACAACGCATCTACTGTTCTCGAGAACCCGAAACCTTCATCTAACAGTAAGTTATTGTGTGTGTGATGCAATTTTTTTATATTTGGAGGGTCTTATTGTTTTGGGCTATGATTGGTTGTCTGTATTGTCTCTTGTAATAACCATTTCAAAGTTTTAATCATTAATTATCAAATTTGAGTCCTAGGTTTCCTGTTGAACATCATCTTGTTACAGGGTTGACTTAAAACTTCCCAACACAACAATAACAGGTTGACTTTTTTACACAAGGGCGTTGACTTTTTTACATAAAGTTGCAAAAATTAATTTTTTAGAATATTATATTACAAATCTTCGGCCCTCTTTAGAAGATATACAGATACGTTAAACATTTGGTTACATTCGTGTTCGTTTTTCAAAACTTTTTTCTGATATTTAGAACGTTATGCAATAGGATTTTGAAATACGTCTAATCTAAAAGCTTAGTCCAAATTTTGGTCAGAAGGGTCGAGCTTAAAGACGTGACATTAGGTTAGTTTAGAGACATTAAAAACTTTTTGGGTCCGGACATGAATGGATACGAATAAAAGTTGTATTTTTAATAAATTTGACATTTTAGGGTTTGAAATGAAGGTAACTCGATAACAAATTCATTGTAAAGGAATCAAAATTGATGGACTAACAATTTCTTAGAACAAAAATTCCTAAACATGAATGTGAAGTAAAAAAAAGAGAGGAATGGATAAGATTAGAATGCGGTGATAAAAGAAATGGAGGATTTGGGATCGCTATAAATATTTAAAGTCTTCTATCATTGCTTAGCGATTGGCAAAGTTCTTCGGTCTCTCAAGTTTGTCAAATTCCACAAAAAATCAGAGGGTAAAGAGACCGACGAACAAGCAGCGGTTTCTGGGGGCCGCCATCGATCTGATTCGGAGCTTATTTCCCTTTCCATAGCTCTTTCCCGCCGATCCTGATCTTCATCCCCTTGTCGATCGCAAACCCTTTTGTTTTCTCAAGGTATTTCTCTCATTTCCATCCGATTTTGTTGGTTTTTTTTTTTGTTTTGTTTTGTTTTTTGTTAATCGCATATCCCTTTGTTTGCTCTGTTCTGAGCTTGATGGATTCTTTGAATCATCTCGTTTTCTAATCGATTTTATGTGTAGATCATGGCTTCGAAGCGTATCTTGAAGGAACTGAAGGATTTACAGAAGGATCCGCCCACATCTTGCAGCGCTGGTATGGTTCTAAGCCCTTGATCTCTTTATTTGATGATCTATGTTGAATGAATTGGTTTCTGTTCATTTGCTGTTTGTTCTATCGTTTTTTCCTCTTAGCAGATGGTATGATTGTGTTGTTGACCTTTAGATCCTGTCTTGATGTGAACATGTTTTTTCTTTCTAGTTTTGAGCTTGGGATGTTTTGTTTTTTGTTCTTTTTTTGTTTATCTTTGCTTTTGAGGATAGGTCCTGTAGCTGAAGACATGTTCCATTGGCAAGCAACCATTATGGGACCATCTGATAGTCCTTATTCAGGAGGTGTTTTTCTAGTCAATATTCATTTCCCTCCAGATTATCCTTTCAAGCCACCAAAGGTGAATGATGTTTGTCTTCTGTTTATGATCTGTGTAATATGATTCTATGTTTCTTGTCTTGTTTTCGAGTAAATAGGATTGCGAGGTTTAATGATTTTGTTTTGTTGTTCAGGTTGCTTTTAGGACCAAAGTGTTTCATCCAAATATCAATAGCAATGGAAGCATTTGTCTCGACATCCTTAAAGAACAGTGGAGCCCCGCGCTTACGATTTCTAAGGTTCGTTTGGCGTTTTCTTGAATTCACCCTCGGCTTTTCGTTTGGTTTCTAAATCTGGATTGAGATTGTGTTGTTTGCATAGACATAGCTGTTTAATGTCGTGTTTGAGATCTATATGCTTCTGTCATTAGTGAAGTTATGTGTATCATCGATGCCTACTCGACTGAAGTCCCTATTCGTATGGCTTAAAATTCACGACCTCGGTTGTATGGCTTAAAATCTTCATTGAATGGATGGCGTATTTCAATTTGTTCTTTTGTTTTCTTGGGTGTCTGTTGTTTGATCACATAAACAATATGAAGACTTGATTGAGCCATGGTTTCTCTATGCAATTGGGAGGTCTTTTTTTGTTTGTTGATATGTTGGGTCTCCGAGTCCTACCCATTGCATTGTTCTTATGGTCTACACTCTATTAATTCGAGCAAGTCGAGAATCGTTGTTAACTTGTGTTTCTACTCCAATAAGCGTGAAGGAAGTAATTGTGTTGTTAACCGCTCAAGCCTATTGTTAGCCGATATTGTGCTCTTTGAGCTTTTCTTTCTGCGCTTCCCCTTAAGGTTTTAAAACGCGTCTATTAGGGAGAGACTTTCACATCTTTATAAGAAAGGTTTCGTTCCCCTCTCCAACTGATGTGAGATCCCACAATCCACCCCCTCAGGGGGCCAGTGTCCTCGTTGGCACACCGTCTAGTGTTTGGTTTTGATACCATTTGTAACAGCCCAAGCCTAGCGCTAAGAGATATTGTCTTCTGGGCTTCCTCTCAAGGTTTTAAAATGAGTCTACTTGGGAGAGGCTTTCATACCCTTATAAGAAATGTTTCGTTCCTCTCTTCAACCAATGTGAGATCTCACAATCCATCCTCTTGGGAGGTCCAGCGTTCTCGTTGGCACACCGCCCGGTGTCTAACTCTAATACCATTTGTAACAGCTCAGCTTACCTCTAGTAGATATTGTCCTCTCTAAGCTTCTCCTCAAGGTTTTAAACCGCGGCTACTAGGGAGAGATTTCCACACCCTTATAAAAAATGCTATCTAAGCCCTCATTCTACCCACACCCCACAATTCTAATAAAGAACAAGTTAAATAGTTGAGCTTTATACCCTCACTATAACCTTTTGATCATTCAACAAAAGCCCATTTCAGCAACAAACTCGCTTTTCATATCGACTTCGAACCAAATTCTAAACATAATGTTGTTCATGAAACAGGTCCTGCTCTCCATATGCTCATTGCTGACCGATCCAAACCCAGACGACCCTCTTGTACCGGAGATTGCACACATGTACAAGACCGACCGAGCCAAGTATGAAGCAAGCGCACGGAGCTGGACTCAGAAGTACGCGATGGGTTGAGACGGTATTGTAGCTTGGTGTCGGTGATGGATGACGCTGGTGGCGGTATCTTCGGCCTGCCATCCTTCTGTATTTCGTGGTTTCTCCAGTTATTTGGGCTGTGTAGGTACTACTTAAAACCAAAGAAACAAACAAGCCTTGTGGTTTTCTTCTCTTTACCACTGGAATTTATGAATGAAAGATGCAAGCACTTTGTCAAATTAACGGATTCAACATTCCTCTTCCTTGGAATTTCATGCAAGCAGTTATTCATCTCTTACAACAATTATTGTCCATTTTTTTTTTCTTTACATTTTTTTTTTGGGATTTTCCGTACCTTAGTACGTTCGTCGTTCTTCGTTCTTCGTTATTGAGTATGATTTTCGTTCTTCGTTATTGAGTATGATTTTCATTTGGTCCTTTAAGGTTTGTCGTTCTTTGAGTATGATTTTCATTTGGTCCTTAAGTTTCTAATTATTACATTTATTGTTGTATTTTGAGTTTAGTTATTTTATTTCGGTATTTAATTATCGTGAATTTTGAGTTTAGCCATACATTTTTTTGTGCCCCAAAAATTATGGTGTTAATAATAAATTGTGATTGAAAGGGAGGATTGTCAACTTGAGTATAGTTTCAATGACTGTATGTTAAAAATTTTAATTTTCTCTCTTAACAATTATATTTAACATGAAATATCTATAAAAAAAATGTTATAAAATATATATTTATTAAAATTTTATGGTCTATCAAACTCCAAAGCTCATCAACTATTTCATGTCACCGTCCTCAATTGGTACTTGAGGCTCTACCTGTAAAAAAAAAATAATTATAATAATAGTACGAGTGAGTATATAAATAGCTCGATTAAACTTAAACATTCTTTCTTACTAAATCGTGTAATTTCATGGATGTCATGTAGAGTAAGTAATTGACATGGCTAGACTACTAAATCTTAAGTTCGACCTAACTTTTTATAGCCACAAATCTAAAAGATTTTGGGCTAAACTTATAACATTATTAGTCCCCTTTCCTCTTTTTAGTACTTTCACCCGAATCACGTTTTCCAACCCTTGTTCTTTCCCTCTCTGTCAAGCCATTTTAGCCCTTTCCTCGAGGAGTCGAGCCACCTATCTTCTCCTCAAGCTGCACTAGCCCGACAATAGCGATCTCGACCATTCATTAATTTATGAAATTCTATTCTAATTTATAGCTTGATTTGTCAAAGACCAGAGTCTCGTTTTTACAAGATATGAAAAGGAGTCTTTATCCTGCTATTCCTGACAATCACTCTTTTGAGGGTTAAAAGAGAAGATCAGTACCTACACTTTTCCATTCCAAACTAGTAGAATAGGTCTCTTACGAGATAGAAGACTTCCTTCAGTAAGTCTGTCTGTTCAACTGAAACTCTTGATAATCCTGAAAAAGCTACTACGAAAGAAAAACCTATCTGTTATTAATTGGGATTAGTACATAAACAACAATTACGTTAAAAATAATCATTTTTAGGTATGCACAAAACTATTACAAAACATAAACGACAACAAAAATGTTTTATTTTAAAGAAAACGACAACCAAAGACATGACATGTTTTTTATATGAAAATTTAAAGTTTCCATTTTTACCGGACCCAACTCACCTCCTTGGACCTTGAAGAAAGAAAGGTCAAATTTCAAATTCTAGGGCGAACTCCCTTTTTCACCCATTTCGATTCCCAATTCAGAGAGAGAGAGAGAGAGAGAGAGAGAGAGAGATCCTTCAAAATTTTCAATTCGTCAAGCAATCCGATCGTCGTTGACCGACGTTGTCTTATCCCTCTCCGATTTGACCCTTTTTCCGACAGCTTCCCATTAAAACCAATATCCTGAAGAAGGTTCATCCACGAATCCCTGTTTGGTTTTTTTTTTTTTTTTTTTTTTTTTTTTTTTTTTTTTTTTTTTTTTTTTTGTTTTCTCCACGATTTTTGGATGTCATCATCCCTCCACGGACTACTGAATTGACTCGAGGCTCCAATTCGGGGGTTCTTGAGGGTAATTTTTCTGTCTCTGTAATGGGATCCTCCTGCTCTACTCATTTTTTTTAATTGTTTTTCAGTGGTTTGTTTATGAATCTAATGAGATGGGTAGCTGTGTCCTTTTCAATTCTATTATGTTCATGATTCTGTTCTATTCCTTTCTTCTCCAATGCTCTTTTTCTTTTGAATGATGCAGTCATTGGCTCCTTATCCATTTGTTTGTTGATTGATGAACTTTGCAGTTTGTCAACGTTCTTAACTTTTAAGGTTATTTTAGCACTGTGATAAAAGTGGAGCTAGTCTTTGTTTGGTGTCTTTTCCCCAGAATTTGTAACATGTCTGTGAATTAAATGTTATGTTTCCTTCCCTTGATAGCATATGGTTATACTGATATTTTCTTTTCGTTATTTCAGGCTAACCTGTGGTACCTAGGACACTTCAAACATCTGCACTTGGACCGCCAAATGGGACTTTGTGCTAGTAAGGTAAGAGCCATTTGGAACATTTAATCTAGTAATGTTAGTAGAGGACTTTCTGTTGGTTTGTCGTGTTGGATTGATGTTTGTACCTGGAACTTTTTTTTAATCAATTGTGATACCTAAATATAATATTATGGATTAGGCCGAAGTTGTGAGTTAGAACGGGGGAATGATTAAATGTGGACTATAAATTAACAGCCTAAAGAATCTGGCTAGAGCCTGGCTCCGTGAGGTTCAAAGGAGGACTAGATATGTGAGATCCCATATCGGTTGGAGAGGAGAACGAAACATTCTTTATAAGGGTGTGAAAATCTGTCCCTAGTAGACGCGTTTAAAAACCTTAAGGGGAAACTTGAAAGGGAAAGGCCAAAGAGGACACTATCTGCTAGCGGTGGGCTTAGGCTGTTGTAAATGGTATCAAAGCTAGATATGGGGCGATGTGCAGTGAGGAGGTTGAGTCCTAAAAGGGAGTGGACACGAGGCGGTGTGCCAACAAGGACGTTGGGCCTCGAAGGGGGTGGATTGGGGGGTCCCACATCGATTGGAGAAGGGAACGAGTGCCAGTGAGGGTACTGGGCCTTGAAGGGGGGTGGATTGTGAGATCCCACATCGGTTGGAGAGGAGAATGAAACATTGTTTATAAGGGTGTAGAAACCTCTCCCTAGTAGACGTGTTTTAAAAACCTTAAGGGGAAGCCTGAAAGGGAAAGCTCGAAGAGGACACTATCTACTAACGGTAGGCTTGGGCGGTTACAAATAGTATCAGAGCTAGACATGGGGCGATGTGCAGTGAGGAGGTTGAGTCTTGAAAGGGGGTGGACACGAGGTGGTGTGCCAACAAGGACGCTGGGCCTCGAAGGGGGTGGATTGGGGGGTCCCATATCGATTGGAGAAGGGAACGAGTGCCAGTGAGGGCGCTAGGCCCTGAAGGGGGGTGGATTGTGAGATCCCACATCGGTTGGAGAGGAGAACGAAGCATTCTTTATAAGGGTGTGAAAATCTCTCCTTAGCAGACGTGTTTTAAAAACCTTGAAGGAAAGCTCAAAGAGGACAATATCTACTAGCGATGGGCTTGGGCTTGGGCTGTTGGCCCTATTTGTTGGAATATTGTTGAAGATGGTGCTTTATAGTCATTAGCATTATACCTTAGAAGGGTACTATTCAACATTTTCCACAGTTATACACTGACTTCAGCAATGCCCCAAAACTTCTATTCTACCCGACCTTTTGTCAGCTCCTCGTAATTTTGTGTCGATGATCCTATAAAATAGAAAAAGGATCATTTCTGAGATTTCGGCGCACTGCCTGTTTTATGCTCGTTAACGTTCATCTAACTGGGAAGTTTTTGTGTTCCCTTTTTCTAGTCCGAAACCAAAGACGATGAGTCTGAGCATCATGTCGAGTTTGCCACCGGAAATGTGCAGCTCATCACAACCAAAGAAGCTTGGGAGCAAAAGTTGGAAGAAGCTAATAAGGATGGCAAAATTGTAAGATTTTGTTTAGTTTATTGCCTTTGAGCACTGCTGTTGTTTCTGGATGTTATCTCGTAGATAAAATCAGGCCCGTTCGTGTTCGTTTCTTTAATTATTTATCGGGACGATGCAGAGAGTATAATAGATAGTCTATTTTATGTCATGTCCTTATTTTGTTGCTCAGTTCTTTGCAAGGGAGGTGGGCTTGATCCTCCCCTGCCTTTGGTAATGAAAATTCTCTTATCAAAACGGGTTTAATCCTTTCGTAATCGAGATTATGCATCCACAGGTGATAGCGAACTTCAGTGCATGGTGGTGTGGTCCTTGCAAGGTGGTTGCTCCATTCTACAGCGAATTGTCGGAGAAATATCCGTCTTTGATGTTCCTAGTAGTCGATGTTGATGAATTAACTGTGAGTAATGAAGTACAATATCATTTATGGAAGAATTTATTCAACTCTTAGTTTTCATTTTCTTTCTTGTTCTTGTACGTTGGGAATGCATTGTTTTTGTCAATCTGAACATAGCTCAATTGGTAAGATACTAACTATCGTCAACTCAGTAGATATGTGAGATCCCACATTGGTTGGAAAGTGGAACAAAACATTTCTTATAAGGGTGTGAAAGCATCTCCCTAGTAGACACGTTTAAAACCGTGAGGCTAACGCGATACGTAATAGGCCAAAGCGGACAATATTTGCTAGCGGTAGGTTTGAGCTGTTACAAATGGTATCAGAGTTAGACACCATGCAGTGTGTCAGCGAGAACGTTGGGCCTCCAAAGGGGTGGATTGTGAGATCCCACATCGGTTGGAGAGGGGAACGAAACATTTCTTATAAGGGTGTGAAAACATCTCCTTAGTAGATGCGTACTGTGAGGTGTGATACGTAATGGGCCAAAGCAGATAATATTTACTAGCGGTGGACTTGAGCTTTTATAATTGATATTAGAGCTAGACACCGGGCTGTGCTAGCGAGAACGCTGGCCCCCAAGGAGGGTGGATTGTGAGGTGAAGCTTGTCTAATTCACTACCCCTCCGTTCATGTCATATTCAGGTATAGATTAAGCCTGTTTGGGCTACATTTCTCAGCATATGCTTTGGTGTGTTGCAGGACTTCAGCACCACTTGGGATATCAAAGCTACTCCTACCTTTTTCTTCCTCAAAGAAGGACAGCAAATCGACAAGCTCGTCGGGGCGAATAAACCCGAACTAGAGCTGAAAGTCACTGCTTTAGCGGATTCTCTTCCTCCCAATCAAGTATGACTTCTGGTAAATATCATTATGAACCCTGCAAGTATCTTCCTTGTATTGTGGATTTATGGTGTTTTTCCCCTTTGTATAATGCTACGCCCTCTTATTAAGTGTAGACATGTGAGGTTGGCTATGAGTAATATTTATTTTTAACTCATTGGAACTCTTGTAAAGCTTTAGGCTTTTAATAATTCTTCCCCTTTGCAAAGAAAAAAAAAATGGATGGATCATTTGAATCCTTTTCTGTGACTTTACTTGTTCGGGATCTGTTTTATAGGTCGTATAATTGTGTCCTTGAGTTTCAAGTTTTTGATGGTGTTCATATTGAAGTTTTCATTTAAACTTATAAATATATAACCGCTCTAATTTGGTGTTCAATCACAACATCACTAATATGTAACAGCTGAAGCCTACTGTTAGTAGATATTGTCCGTTTTAGTCTTTACGTATTGTCATCTGCTTCACGACTTTAAAAAACGTCTAGTAGCTCCTATCCAACCGATGTGAGATCTCACAATCCACTCTTCTTGGAAGCCTAGCGTCCCCACTGGCACATCATCCAATGTCTGGCTCTAATATCTCATTTGTAACATGTCAAGCCCACTACTAGTGGATATTATTTGTTTTGACTCATTATGTATTCCCGTTAACCTTATGGTTTTAGAACGTGTTTACTAGGAAAAGATTTCTACTTTATAAAGAATGGTTTTATAACGGTTCGTTCCATTTCCAAAAAGATGGAATTGATACTAAAAAAAATATATTAAAGACAGTAAAAAGAATGACATAGATTAGTACAAAATAATACACTTAGGCAGTCAATAATAAAGAAACAGTGCAGGCAAAGGGAAAAAAAATCAATCCACACAAGAAAGTGAGTAAGAAGTAAAAATATGTTTGAATATACCGATATCTCTATCGATACTTTATACATACAATTCATACTACCAGGCAGAATAATAAAAGATATTTTGCTTTGGATTGAAACAATTCGTAGCCTCAGATTGTACTTTTGATCAATCAAAACTATAAAAGTATTATGGCCTTACAGAGTTGAGTGAGTTCTGCCTCTTCTTCAGATGTTAACGACCTTTTGGATTCATGATCTGTGAGAATACAGCACTCGGCGTCAAGCCGTCCGAATCTTCACTGGCAAGGCTTCGGCTTCCGATGCTCATACTGATTCCAGTGCTTCTCGAGTCGGTTATGTTTCCATCAATGCCTGGGGAAGCATCTAGATCCTTCTTTCCTTTGTAAACTACATCGAGCTGACCTTCTTCTATGTCCATCCCGCTGCCTACCTTGCCACTCTCTTCGGCACTCTCCTGCAGCTGCAACGCGAACTCTAGATTCCAGAGAACGTCGCCCATCGATGGCCTGTCAATGCCCTGATCAGACACACATTTCATTGCTGTCTCTGCAAATTTCTTGAGACACTCCGATGCAATCTTCCCCTTAAGGAATGGGTCAATTATCTGATCTAAAATGCCCTTGATGTAGCAGTGTGCAGCCCATTCAGCTAAACTCACTTGCTCCTTGGGGAGTGTTGGGTTCAAGGCTGGCCGAGCGCATAGGACCTCAAAGAGAACGACTCCGAAGGAGTAAACATCTGATTTGTCAGTCAATTGCTGTCGCCTAAAGTATTCAGGATCCAAGTATCCGAAACTACCTTTCACTACAGTGCTAACATGGGTGTGATCCAATGTAGGACCCGTTTTCGACAACCCGAAATCAGATACTTTTGCCACCCACTTTTCATCCAAAAGGATGTTGGTTGTCTTCACATCTCGGTGAATAATTGTATACTTGGCACCAGTGTGGAGATAATGCAGACCACGGGCAGCTCCAATGCATATTTCGAGCCTTTGCCTCCAAGACAATGGTGGCTTGTGAGTCTTGTATAAATGTTCTCGCAGTGTTCCATGAGCCATGCAATCATAAACCAGGATCATTTCACAATTCTCTTCGCAGTAGCCAATCAACGACACAAGGTGGCGATGGCGAAGCTTAGAGAGCATTTCAATCTCGGTCTGAAATTCATGCACACCTTGCTCAGAGAGAGGGTTCCCACGCTTAATGGCAACTTCCGTAGTCCCACCATCAATGACTCCCTTATAAACTTTTCCAAAACCACCCACTCCAAGTAGTAAAGATTCATCAAAGTCCCTTGTGGCAGCCTTGATCTCAGAAAATGAGAAGTGGCGGCAAAGGTTGGAAGGCAGGGAGGAGGTATAGCTTCCAGTTGTATTTGTCTTAGCAGATCCAGCTGAATGGGAATTTCCATAGAGAGAAAGAGGGAGCCATCCTGACGGTCCTTCAACCGAGCTAGAATCTTTCCCATGCCCACGGCGACGTTTAGCAATAACAAAGAAACCAATGATCAGAGCTAAAGCAGCTACTCCACAAACAACTCCAGCAATGATCCCTGCCTTATTCTTCGATTTACCATGAGAAGATGCTGGGTTAGCTAATGATGGATCAATAATTTCCTGTTTTGGCGCAGGAATAGGATTTGGTCCTGCAAGATTAGCATTCGAGTCACTGATTTTGAAAATCTCCGCTCCGTTCAAGATTGAATCGTAGTAATTGGGGACCATAGACTTGTCTGGATGCAGTTCGAGCCATAAATCCTTCTGTGGACTTCCACCACTAGGAATGAAAACCACATAATCTTTGTACACAGGAATATAATTACTTCCAGCCCAGGCAACCACGTCGGCACCATCCATAGCAGTTTGATTAAAGATGTAAATGTCAAAGACTCTTTGGTTGACTTTTGTGATATTTGCAGCAACCTCACAAAAATGGAGCCTAACAAGGTAAAAGAACCCAGAGTCAACAGGCAATATCCATGTCATGTTATAATTCAAATTGACATTGTTATCAGGTCCCATTGCTCTAGCAGTGGAGTAGACATCAACCGGCGCAACATAAGTAGGAATACTCGGCGGATAATTAATCGTCGTGTTCTGATCAGTAGTCATTGTCACTCCCTGTGCTGCACCATACAAATATGGTGTGTCATCAAACCAAGACCTATACATTCCCGTATCACCGGAAGGCATAATATCATTGCCCCCGACATTCAACCGATAGACATTCTCAAGCGCAGTGGTGTTATCCACAGTGAATGGAGTAGATGGGCCAACAACCAGAAGAGTCCCAGAAGTATCGCTGTAAATATCAGCCATGGATACAATCTCAATCCCATTCACAAATGCATAGGCCTTTGGATGACTGGAGGATGGAACGAAAGTCAAGTTCAACCATCCATCTTCAACATAGATTGAGTATTCCTTAATGATATAAGCAAAATTCAAAGCCTCGGCAGTTTGTGCAGCGCTGAAGTTCTTAAGAAGGGTATAGGATTGAGTGGAGACAGAGAAAAGAGCATCAGATGCATTAAGGCCACTGTAAGAAGAAGGGTAAAAGTAGAGACGAACGAATAAACGACTAGGGGCCACAGGAAAGCTGTAGGTGAAATTAGAGCTGAAAACCCTAGCCGTCATGAAAGGGATATCAGGAACTGAAGGATCCTGTGTAGCGGCTTTCGATACGGTGCTATTCCCCCTCGCCGGAATAAACTTGGATTTGTCATCGGTCATCCATTTCCGGTTATCGACGTCGTTGGCAGTCGAAGGCCCTCCACAATCGAGGAGAATGAAATCCCGGGGAACGTAATTGTCTGCTAAAACCACATGAACATCGAAGAACAAGCAAACGAAAACAGAGATCGATGCAAATGCAAATGCAAGACGGAACTTATGAATTTCCTTCATGAGTCAACTCGAAAACTTCTTCCTCTCTAGATCAGAACAACATCAACAGCCGATTAAACTTGACAAGAATCCAAAATTTCCTACACAGAAATCAACAGAACAAGTAAATCACCAACTTCCAGCATCAGCAAGCAACCAATCAATCATCATACGAGTTCGATCCGAGAAATTACAAGCCAATGAAGTGAAAATCAAAAAGGATGTAAGATGAATCAGATCCAAGCAAAGGAAAAACACAAAGCTAAAGCAAATTATCTCCTTCGATGGATCCAGAAAGTAGAGATTTGGAGGAGAAAGCTTACCTGGAGAGAGGCGATTGAGGAACCGGATTGAAGAGGAAGGAGAAGCAGAGAGATGACTGTGAAACAATGGTGGAAAGCCCAAAAGTAAAAGACCCGAAACCTTAGGAAATGGGGAAGAAGATGGTGCCAGCCAAGAGCTTCGGTGCGGGCCGCAATATTCAGTGTCTCATTCAATCAGCTTTCCAATTGTTCTACAATAACGCCCTTGGATTTTCAACTTATCTACGATTTTGCCACTACCTCTTTGGGTTAGGTGAGACAACTCCCTCTAACCAATTTAAGAATAGTTCAACGTCGATAACATACTAACAATTATTTAATTTCTACCGTGGTATAATTAAACTTAAATTTTTTAAAAAAAATAAAAATTCATAATTTGAAATCAAGGAAATAAAGTGTGTGTTTATAAGCTGTAAGAACATGTTTTTTAGTTTGTGTAGCTCGAACTACATTACTCGGTAAGGAATGAAAGAAAAGTTTAGTAGAGGCTATTATTATAAAAAATCATACATCGTGTGACAGTAGGAATTGTATTTACTAAAAATTACTGTTGGGCTACAGATGTTGATGATCCAATTACAGAGTTTTCGAGCATCACGTCGTACTTTAGTAGGTTTGGATGTCATGTTGTGAAAGATGTGACAAGCCGAGCTAACTTATCAATGATAGAAGGCGGAAAGCAAAGGCATCCTTGAGTTAGACATAATCGAGTAATGTCATATCCTGTTTGACCTAGGTCAAATTGTGAATCGTGGATATGAACATTTTGGATTTTACTATGATAGGTATTTATTAAACCTGACAAACTTGGTATCATCTTATTGCAATCATAATTAACCTGGATATACCATGATAGTTATCGGGATGAAAATTTCAGATTTTACAAAATGTCTTATTCTAAAAGAAATAGAAAAAACATAGACCAAATAGTTATACCAATCGACGTGTTTTATCCATATTTTGACTTAACATTCATTTTTACCTTTTAAGTTACGTAATCTAACTAATCAATCAATCCAGTGTACTAACCGAGTCACCATATCGTAAATACTCCGTGTAGGATTATATTAAAAAAATTAAGTTAAATATAACTCAATAGTTAAACGCATTATATTACGAAAACTAAATTAATAAAAATACTCTAAATTCTGTACTTTGTCTCAAACATACCCTTGAACTTATAAAAAATTCAAAAAAATTATTACTGGATATTGTTCAATAAGCGGATCATTTTTAAAATTTTTATTTATTTTTATTTTTTGGAGGGAATATTAAATAAAACATTAATTATTTTGGACATTTTTGAGAGAAGGCAAAATTACGTATATAGCCTTTTGTGAAACAAAAAGCGGCCAACTAATATATGTCTGGTGTCGTTGGGTTTGATGGCATATGCGGAAAAGTTTGAATTTGTGGTGGATGGTACGCTATGACTCAATGGACGGTGGATCTGAGAGAGAAGTTTAATCGGACGGTCAGAAACATTTAGAGAAAGATAAGCCAAAATGAAACTAGAAAATAATATTAATAAAAATTGTGTTGAATAAATCAAATAAATTCCTGATTTTACGCGTTTTCCTTTTTATTTTATTTATTTTTAAAATTAATTTTAATGGGAATAAAGGTACACGCGTTTGGATTTGGTTTATCAGTCGGCGCGTCGTGACGCCCATTAGGCGCCAGCTATTTTTAGTGCTAAATACCAACGTGGGTGGGGCCCACTTCCACCTGTCTTCCCATTCCCGGCTTACGTGGATAAATCATTTTTTTTTCATTTTTAAATAATCATCATTTTAAAATGATAAAATCTCACCTTTTGTAGGTGAAATAATTTGTCATTTTCTTTTTTTATTTTCATACGTGTCAATTTTTTTAAAAAAAATTAAAGAATATAGTTATTAAAAGCTTATATTTTGTTTTTGAAGTATGTCTTAAAATTGAAATTTTTTTATTAACAGATATTAAAAATATTAAAAACAATGTGTGAAAAAAATAAATAATAGTTTATGTTTTTATATATATTAAGATTTATTTTCATTTTCTTTATTTTTTTATTTTTAAATTAACCATTAAAAAGAATTAGGCTCAAAGGAATAAAGTTGTGATAAAATAAAACCAAGAAAATATATTTTATTTTTCTTTTCTTTTATGTATGGTAAACAAATTCAAAGAGAGTTTTTTATGTATCGAATTCGTTATCTTCTCCAATTGATATGAGATCTCACAATTCATCGAGCTTCCAGTGTTCTCACTAGTACACACTGTTTGGTGTCTAGTTCTGATACTATTTGTAATAGTCTATGTCACCGCTACCAAATCTTGTTTGTCTTAGTCCGTTATGCATCGTTTTCAGACTCATGATTTAAAAACACATGTCACCAGCTTCACCATGACGAAAAATTAAAAAGTTTGGAGATAATCTATGAGGTGTAGATAGCTAAATTTTTTTTTAATTTTTTTTTATAAAGGTAAAAGATGAATGCTATTTTTAAAATTTCATGGATATTTTAAAACATATTACAATATATTTTTTAATTTTTTAAAAGACAAAAATACTTTAAGACCATTTTTTAAATAAAGTATTATCGTTTCTATCTAAAACTAACTCTAAAAATATTTGATAGATTTTTTAAAAATTTTAAGAGTATTATTGATATTTTAAAATTGAATATTATTTTCGAGATAAAAGTATAAATTTATAGATATTTTTACTTAATTTAATTTTTTTTATATTATTATTACCTATAACTTCACAAACCATCTTGAAGCATAAATAATAATAATAATAATAAATAAATAAATAATCTTTATTTGGTTACCAAAAAAAATAACAATAATAATAACATGCAACGCACCGTTTGGGTCAGAATTAGAAGTTAGTTTGCTAACTAATTAGTTTTTGTCTTTTATTTTTAAAAATAAAGTTTATAAACTATTATTAAATATTTTTGAAAAATTATTTTTTATTTGTTAAGTTTAGTTTAAGAATTAAAATAATTTTTTTAGAAAAATACAAATAATTACAAAGAAATTGCAAGAAAATAAACATAATTTTTAAAATAAAAACAAAACATTGAAACATTAATTAATTTTTTTTTAATGAATACCTAATTCGGTTCAGTTATTATTTTATCATCAATTATTTAATATATAGATTAGTAGAGGGGTGAAATTCGACCATAGACTAATTGAAAATATCAAAATGATATTTTTTTCTTGTTAAAATATCATTCAATAATATTTTATATTAATTACATAATAATAATAATAATAATAATTATCGTGCAAGAAAATATTCTAATATTTATTACATTAATAACTAAAATCTCGTAAGGCTCAAATATTAAACATTCAATAATAACATATCACTAACATGGGTTACAAATGTCAATAATTTTTAATCTTCGTAGTAATCTTAAAAGTTGAGGAGAATAGGATTCGTATTAGTCAGTTTGACAAAAAAAAATGTCAACTCACGAACTGATCCGATTTTTCACTTTTTCACTTTAAAAAAAAGTCAACCCAACTGAAAAGCAGCTACATATATGTTTGATATTGGTCGAGATTCTCTCAAGAGTCAAAATTTAGCATTGGAAGGCATTGGCTTAAAGGTTATAATCTTGCAAATGAATATATAAATTTCTACTTACAAACTCATTTCTTGACCAAGTTTAGTTTTGAAATAACTGCTGCTGCCTGATCACTCCCCAACAAGAAATAAGGATGCCTCAGAGCAGCGGAAGCCGATAAACGCCCCCTTCTAAGCGAGCCTCTCTCCGAAACGAGCTTCGTTGCGAGATCCCACCCTCTCCTCGAGTCGAGATCGAGTATCGTCAAATCAGGCTTCGTTCGTGTTCTCTCCCTCCATTCATTCAAGTCATATCCATAGTTCTTAATTTCCATATTGAAATTCTTCAACCCAGCACTACTCCTCAAGCTTGGTACTGCCATTTGCATAAGCACAATACCAGCAGAATACATGTCGAACAGATCAGGGCTGTTCAGCTGCAATAACACAAACAGTTTCCAAAACAAAATACTTTAAAATCCGACATTAGTTGGAGAGGAGAAAGAAACACACTTTATAAGGGTGTGGAAACCTTTCCTTATCAGACGCGTTTTAAAAACTTTGAAGGGAAGCCCGAAAGGAAGAGCCCAAAAAGGACAATATTTGCTAGCATTACAAAGGTATCAGAGCCAGACACTGGGTGATGTGCCAACAAGAAGGCTAGGCCCCAAAGTGGATTCGGGTCCCACATCGATTGGAGAAAGGAGTGAGTGCCAACGAGAACACTGGCCACAAAGGGGTGGATTGTGTGATCCCACGTCGGTTGGAGAGGAGAACGAAACACCTTTATAAGGGTGTGGAAACCTTTCCCTAACGGACATGTTTTAAAAATCTTGAGGAAAACCCCAAAAGGAAAACTCCAAAGAGGACAGTATCTGCTAACAGTGGGCTTGGACGGTTACAAATGGTATCAAAGCCAGACACTGGGTGATGAGCCAGCAAAGAGTCTGGGCCCCAAAGTGGATTGGGGGGTCTCGAGAACAAGTGCCAGCGAGGACACTGGACCCTGAAGGGAGGTGGATTGTGAGATCCCACCTCGGTTGGAAAGGAGAATAAAAACCTATAAGGATGTGGAAACCTTTTCCTAGTAGACGTGTTTCAAAAACTTTGAGGGAAAGGGAAACCTCAAAAGAGAAAACTCAAAGAGGAGACAATATCTACTAGCGATAGGCTTGGACAAGGTCCAACAACAGCCTTTGAACAGCAAGGATCATTCTACAGATGAATAAGCTAAACTTAAACAGAACTTGGCATCAAAGATACATCATTTCTAATAAGCATCAGAACCCCAAACTTTGAGCATTAAGAAAAGATCCATGGAGATCAGCTTACCTGCCAGAGAATAGGAGAAAGAAGTGCAGCAATGGGAGCTGGAGGAGGGCTAGGTGTTTCTTCGGGCATCACGTACAGCTCGGGAGGACAGTAGTCGGGATCCAGCAAAGCAAGGTTTGGTACGTAGTTCTTGCCAATTCGGAGATCGGTGGCTGCCCCGAAATCTATAATCTTTACCTGTCCTTTCTTGGTTACTACTAAGTTTGCTGGCTTTACGTCCCTGTGAACGATGCCTGTGTCATGGATCTTCTTCAATGATGTGATGATTTGGCGGAGTATTTGCTTGATTATCAATGCATTTCTTTCGGTCGAGTTCATGCCTTGTAAGACACGTCGGAACATTAGCGTTTCCAAGTTTAGGGGGAAGCTTCTATCTTTCATGTAATCTCCAAGAGTCTGATCTCCCTGCATATAAAACATCCTTGAGATTAAACCTAGTGGTTTTGGAAAGCTGCCTCCAAGCCCAAGTCCTCCAAGTCCAAGCCCACCGCTAGTAGATATTATCCGCTTTGGCCCGTTACGTATCATCGTCAGTCTCACAGTTTTAAAACGCGTCTACTAAGAAGAGGTTTCTACATCCTAATAAGGAATGTTTCGTTCTCCTCTCCAACCGATATGGGATCTCACAATCCGCCCCCCTTGAGGGTCCAACGTCCTCGCTGGCACACCACCCGGTGTCTGACTCTGATATCATTTGTAATACCCCAAGCTCATCGCCAGCAAATATTGTCCGCTTTAGCTTGTTACATATCGTCGTCAACCTCACGGTTTTAAAACACGTATATTAAGGAGAGGTTTCCACACCCTTATAAGAAATGTTTCGTTCCCTCTCCAACTGATGTGGAATCTCACAATCCACCCCCTTTGGGGACCAACGTCCTAACGGGCACACTGCCTAGTGTCTGGCTCTGGTACCATTTGTAATAGCTCAAGCCCACCACTAGCAGATATTGTCCGCTTTGAGTCATTATGTATCACCGTTAACCTCACGGTTTTAAAATGCATCTACTAGGGAGAGATTTCCACACCTTTATAAGGAATGTTTCGTTCCTTTCTCCAACCAATGTGGGATCTCACAATCTACCCCCTTGGGGGCCCAATGTCAACCTACCTATGAAGAGAGTAGGTTGTGACCCTTACGTTGCAACAAAAGAAGCGGCGACCCTCAAGTGGCGCCCACACGGAAACGCGAGGGCCTAGACAGGTGTTATGATGCGACCAAGGAGGATGGTGCATCATCTAACACACCACACCATTTGGAGAAAACAAACATAAATTTCAAATATCGAAAGACAAAGAACGAAATCAATATCAAACCGAGCCTAAATTTTTCACAAAATGTTATTGATAAATCACGAGTTCAAAAACTTTCTACGTCCCTACCTCTCCATTGCATATAACTTGAATTGTTACTGAAGATGAATGGCCAGAGGTGCACATTATTGGATGATAAGATAGCATATGAATAAAGTGTTCTAAAAAATGATACCAAACTCAAGTACCTCAAATTTCCAAACGAGCCATTTTCCTCCTGCAGAGAATTGCCTGTTTTCTCTATCAGCTACAAAACTGCCAAGAAACTCAGCACAAGTTTCAGGCGCTGCTCTTGAAAGCCTGTAGTTAAACCACTCTTCATATTCCCCAAATTTTTCAGCTCCTTTAACTCCAACTTTAATCTGTAAATTGCCATCAAACAGTGTAACCAACTCAATCCGTAGTTGAATTTTGAAGAGTAAACCGTAATCGAATAAGGTTTATTATCGACCTCTCTATATGAAAGCGTGCAAAGATGCCCTCTCCTATAGGCTTAAAAAGAGACCAGCTAAACTCGAATATCGAAGAAAAGTGGATTTGTGTGTAACAAACTCTAGCTTCGGAAATCCATAGATGAATTTTGAATAGTAAAACGTAATCGAATAAGGCCCTCTTCTCTATATGAAAGCGTGCAAAGATGCCTTCTCCTATAGGCTTAAAAAGAGACCAACTCGACTCGAATATCGAAGAAAAGGGAATTTGTGTGTAACCAACTCCAGCTTCGGAAATCTATAGATGAAGTTTGAATAGTGAAACGTAATCGAATAAGGTTTATTATCGACCCCTCTATATGAAAGCGTGCAAAGATGTCTCCTCCTATAGGCTCAGAAAAAGCGCAACTAATCAAAGTGAGACCAGATCAACTGATATCATAATCAGTAGATGAATTTTGAAGAGTAAAACGTAATCGAAGGAAACAGCCACAAACAAGTTTGAAACAGCCACAAAAAATCATTGTATAGAGTGTTACCTTCTTAAGAATCACTTTGTCCTTCCCATCCAACTCCAAAACTTTGCTCGTTCGATTTTCAATCTTCACATTCTTCGGAAGAAATGCACCCGAATAAACAACTCCGAACGAACCCTCTCCTAGTTTTGAGCCAATCACAAAGTCAGAGCTCTTCAAGTTTCTTCTTCCTATCAAACTATACAGCCCCAGCTGCAGAGGAGCCAGAAGGTACGTATCAATGGCGCCAAACAGAACCCCTGGTCGAGCAGTGAGATAAACCCAAATGAACCCAGCAAAAACAATGAAACCCCATTTCTGCAAATCGCTCAATTCCCCAGAGAATCGTTGAAATTGAACATACCCAGATTGCAAAACTGGAAGTTGATCGATTCGCAGAGGGCCGTCTAGGTTATTGAGGAGATCATCAGAGATGTCGCCGAAGAATGATGCTCGGCACTTGCCCGCCGACGGTTTGGGCCTGAAAGTTCCGGCGAAGAGGGGGATTTCTGTTGGAAGAATGGGTTTCAGAGGAGAGAATCGGGTTTGGTGGGTTTGTTGGAGGGAAATTGCAAATGGGAAGATGAGAGAGGCCATTGGCGTGATTTCGAGTAAATGGGTGTCGCGATGGGAGGGTGTTGCGCGGCATCATCTTACAGATTGCGAGAGTGGCGTGGGGCAGTGGCTGCACTGAGGCCGCGTGGCTTTATCAACTTTATCCACTTGTGAGTTCCAAAATCTTTAGCGCTGAGATGTGGGTAAGTGGGTCCCTTTGGGTTCCTTTTTCTCTTTTTGCATCTGTTGTTCTTATTTAGTAAACGAACTAACTGAATGGAATGGATAAGATTGGATACCTAAATGAATCAAGATAAGTATGTTTTGTTTGGAGAAATTTTATGTAAAGAGACCTTTTAGAGAAATAAAATATGGTGGAACACTGTTTGGTGTCCACTCCCCTTTGGAGCTCATCGTCCTCGCTGGCACACTACCCGATGTCTGGCTTTGATATCATTTGTAACAGTCCAAACCCACCACTAGCAGATATTGTCCTTTTTGAGCTTTCCCTTTCAAGCCTCCTCTCAAGGTTAACACATTTGCTAGGGAAAGTCTCCACACCCTTATAAACAATGTTTTGTTCTCCTCTCCAATCGATTTGGGATCCCACAAATACATGATAGTTACACTAGGTCGACGGAATATTGGAGAGGTACTCATGTACTCTACAAAGCTCTAGATTCTAGAATTGTTACTTGTTGCTAATTTCTCATCTACTTCAAAATTCTATGATTAGATACATGAATACACTTTCAGCGTTAACTCGAGTGCCATTGAATCTCTGAAACTCGATTCATTTGGTTATTCCTTTCGTCCTTCGAGAGCCTATAAGTGAAGTGATCTTTGTAAATGCATTGCATATGTCCACAAATATGAAGATTCATTCCTATTAGTTTGTATCTTGTGATATCTTTACCGAACATCATGTCCTTTACAAGTTGATAGTTCACGAAACCATTTCAGGTGAGTACATATGTATTAGGATGTTGTCAAATTTTATAAAATTGAAATTGAAAGTTTAGGGTTAAGAATGTCGGGCTAAATTATAAAAATATCCATCTGTTTTTTCAAAATTTTCATAAATATTTTAACGCTGTCTTTGAAATATAAATTTGTTAGAATGCTATATGCAAATTGAAAGTTGAAACAATGCAATAGTGACCCGAAACAAAAATTAGGATCTGAACATTCACAATCACACCGTTTTATGTCACTGTCACACCCATTTCATGTCTCGATTTTCATCTAAGATTTCAATATATTTTATGATTTTTTTCATAAATTATTTTAGAGAATGTTCGGCTTGTCACATTAGAATTATCTTAAATGATCCGTAGCGTAAAGTTTAAGAATTAAAATAAAATATTTAAAGGAACAAGAATAAATAAAAAAAGATGTATGAACCTAAAAATGCAATGAAACCATGGAAGGGAACAGTAAAAAGAGACTGGTAAAAAATAAAAAAATAAATAAAAAAAGTCATTTTCTTTTTGTTTTTTTACCCTCCACATTTCTTTAGTTGGAATTTAATTATATTAAATTGATTGAATGTGACATATTTTTTTTAATAATCTCTTGTGATTATTTAAGGAACAGAGAATATTCTCTTTTTTAAGTATATATTACGTATTTTATTAACATTTTTAAATAACATATATTAATTATACCCAAGTATCAATTAAATTCTCAAATTAATAATTATAGTTTTTTAAACTTTAAACTTTCTTATTTGCTATAACATTCCCGGTACACAACCACCCCTCGATAAAGGGTGGACGGGAAAAGCTACAGGAGGCTCGAGAGTAGCTTAGTAAGTAAATGAAACTCTCTCTCTTTTTCCCTTTCAAACAAATCTTTCCCATCTTTATTCACGCAAAATTTTTCATTTATTTTTGTCGTGATCGGGGCCGAGACTCCCCACGAGACCTTGTAGGAATCGGATTTCCTACGGGTTATTTTAAAATTTCCAAAAAAAAAAATCTAATAAATGAAAGCAATTTTTAAAAAATCAAAATTTAATATTACAACACATTTTGTAATGATGAGGAGACAGGAATATAATCTTGTCCCCGACCCTATTTATCTAACAGGGAAAAAATGTTCCCTTCTCCCTCTCCATTTAAACCGAGAATCCTCGTAAAATAGGTGCAAAATAGACATGTCTGTCGATCATGGTAGAGTGTTAAAAGTAATCCAACAGAAATTATTATTAAATAAAGTAGCCGTTGCCGCCTGTCTAATTTCAAATTCAAACCCTACAAACACAAACACAATACATCCAAAAGCACTCTCTCCCAATCATCTCTTTTCTATGATTCCATTTCTCTTCCACACCAATTCTCCGTCTCCACCAATATGCAGGCTCTTCACCAACCCTTAGCCACACCTCACGATCTTCCTCTCAAGTCCGGCCGCCGGCCACTCCAGCCGAAAAACTCGCTCCCGAATCCTGTACCTGCTGTCGCTAAAGTCATCAAATCCAAGCCGGAACGGATCCAGATCTCGCTCCCTACCGATGCCAACAAGGAGAACCATCCACCGATTCACGCGAAGGCCGCGAGTGTCGAGTCCTGTGATTTGTCTCTGGCGGATGAACTCAATGCGGTTAAGAGGAAACTCGAGAGATTGAGATTGGAACGTGAGCGAACGGAGCAGATGTTGAAAGAAAGAGATATGATCTTGGAGTTGCGAATGAAGGAGTTGTTGCAGAGAAGTAAGGAGCAGAGAGATCTGGAGATGGAGGTCGATAGGTTGTTCAGATTGAAGGAACTCAGATTGTACTGTATGGTAAACGTTCTGTTTTGCGCGTTTGAAGTTTCGATCCGTTGATTCATGTTTTATCTGTTGTTCGTTTGCTGATTTTGGATGATTTGGATGATTTGGATGATTTGGATCAGAGGATTTCTCCGATTCGGAGTCTCAGAGAGAAGGAGCGAGAGAAGATTTTTGCCGATGCGCAGTTTCCTGTAAGTTCCGATCCCTAATTTCGAAGCGATTTCTTGATTTTTCTAAAACTTCGGATTCATCCGCTTCAATGTGAAATCAATCTACAATCCGCCGATTGTTTCAGGAATATGAAATCGGCGACGGAGAAGAATCGGTCGGCGAAAACTCCTCGTTGGATTCTTCAGAATTCGTCACAGGTTTTTGAAATCAGTCTCAGTTTTGTTCATCGCTTTCGATTTTTCCCTTACTTTCCGATTTCATCTTCTTTGGATTTCTTCTGAAAGTGACATTCAATCAATGATTTCAAAGGTAAAGAAAGAAATCAATGTAATACCTCATTATGTGCTTCTCTATGCTTTGATTGAAACATTGAGTTTGTAATCAATATCAATCTCCGTCTTCTTCACTTCAATTAATGTCTGAAAATGAAGAAATTCCAAATCAGTGCCTGTTCATGATTTTTCTCTCGCGCCTTTATGATCTGAATTGAATTTTCTGTATGAGTTTAGAAATTGAAGAGAGATTGATCGAATCCACCATTGAATAGATTAATTTTGCAATAAATAATACTACCACTTTTGTTTTTTAAAAAAAGTATAATTAATAAATAACAAAATAAATTGATGCAATCATAAATTAAATTAAATTAAATTAAATTATTTTATTTTAATCCATTAAAATAACAATATATAAGTATCTTTACTTTAAATGTTAATTAAAAAGTAGCAAAATTACTTTTTTACCCTCCAAAGTCAAGCTTAGTATCCCTACCATTTGTATTTAGTGGCATTTTTTTGTAATTCATCAATTTTTTCATTAATTAGAAGAAGAATGATGTGGCACCTATTTTTATTAAAAAATATTTTTTTCTCTAATTTTTAATTATTAAACTTTAAAAATATTTATTTATTTTTTTTTTTTATCCTTAAACTTTTAAATAAATTATATTTTTGTCCATGAATTTTTAAAATGTCTATTTTTGACCTCATACTTTAAAAATACTAAATAATCGACTTTTATGAAATTTTTAAAAAATTAATAATACATTATTACCAAATATTAACAAGTGAAAATTATTATAGAAAAAATAGAATTTAAATTAATTTACAGTAAATAAAAATTATAATGGTAAAAAAAAAAGACTATAATATCTGGAAACCGACACGAATAACAGGCGCTTGTTAAGTTTTAAAAGACTTAAAAAACGTGAACGACAAGTCGGCAGAAACTGTCCCCATCGTCCGCTTTTTCCTCTTTCTTACGTTTTTATTCAGATCCATCTTGAAATTACCAAAATAGACATTTCCGTACCCCTCCTTAAAATAAATTTTAGGGTATCTTTCTCTCTCTGCTTTTATTTATAATTTTTTTAAAAAAAATCTTTTTTCCCTCATAAATTTATTGTATGAAATTTATTCTAAATTACTTACCTCTTAGATCAACACGACTCTCCACAATAGTATGATATTAAGATTTAATGACTTTATTTTACGCTTCCCAAAAGACCTCGTACCCATAGAGATAATATTCCTTAACAGAAATTGATTGGTAGTTCAGATTATCGAGTCATATGAATTTCCCTAAAATTTAAATAGTACAAATATAAAAAATAAATATTAAATTTGTACGATTGGTTTAGAATCTATAATCCATTTCTTAATCCTTAAATATTATCTAATATTCTTCAAATCTTTTCTCTTTTTGCACTTTCTTTAACTAAGTGATTAATGGAATTTTGATGTGAAATTATGACAATGATAGCAATAAAAGTTCCTTAGCTACTAAGTCTAATCTAAATTCATCTAAAAATAATTTAATTAAAATAAATAAAAATAAATAGTTTATGAAATTTTAATATCCGACTTCAAATTTCTTATCTATGGCGGTTTATCAGTGACGTATTTATTTATACACTGGCATTGTTTTGTGCAGAACGTAGAGAATTTGTGTAATCAGGTATATTTGACTATAGGGAATGTAAGGTTAGATAAATCTTAACACTCGATGGTTATTAATTTAGTGTCTTAGTTGATTCAACGTGTAAAAGAGTTATAGAACATCAAAAACGATAGATACGAAAATAAAGAGAGATCAACACGAGGACAATCAGTTTGAATAGCTTCTCGAGTCGAAGACGGACCCACTTTGGATTTAGAGGTAGTAGTTCACC